TTGGCAGTTTTCTGGGGCTTTTCTGATAGAAAGTCATATAAAACAGATGCCATTTAAATTAGCTCCTCGCAGCCACGTCTGTGTAGCAGACTGCTTCTTTTTTATTAACAATCTTCATTTTGTTTTTATGAAAGAGAAAACTKCTTTTATAATGGGAGGAATTTCAGGCTCCTGCAGGAAATGGAGAATTACAAGCTGAAAATGTTTTGGTTTTTTTTTTTTTCACTAAGCTCTTTGAATCTAATAAAGTTTAGATAAAATCTTATTTTATATATTTTCTTCAGTTGTTTCAAGATGTGTGGTTGTGTTGAACCTCTGATCCTTCATCCTGGGATTAGAAGGGAGTTTTAGACAAAAATGTCAAAACGAGWGRCGCTCATGGAGTTTCTATAAGTCTGATTATGTAAAAACTATTAATGGTGATATTAAGAAGTGTATTATTTATACATTATAGTGTATAACAGGGCTATTCAACTGGTGGCCTGTGGGCTCAGTGACTTTCAAGAGGCCGGTCAATGAGGGCCCGCCCCCAATTTTAATTTTTGAAATTTGTTTTAGTTAATTTAATATAAAAATCATTTGTAAATTTGACATTTATGTTTCAATGCAACTAAACAAATTTAAATGGTAAAAGATGTTGTTACCTATACCATAAATGGTAATATTTATTAATATTATTTATGACAAGTAAAAAATAGTAAATATACTTTATTTGTTGAAGTCATGTTTCAACTAGCTAAGAAGTCTAAGTTACTGTCTGACTTCAGGTCTGGTTTAGATCATTGCTTATAAATTGTACATTTTTCTTGTATCTATCTGCTGTTTTACAAGATTATTAAAAGAAATAATCGTATTTATATAAATTTATTGTAAACAAAAGAACTTGGTGGAAATAAAAGTGGGAGAAAATGTCAATTTCGAACTAAATATCTGCAGTGAGCTCAGAGAGATGTATTGAATTAGTTGAGCTCAGGGGAAACAGCCATTAAAGCACAACTTGTGTTAATGGAGCAATAAATGGGATTATTACAAGGAGTCCCTCCAGAGTGTTCAGAACCACTGCGTTAAGGAGGAAGTTCAGCTTTACATTCAGAGCAGCGTCTGGTCCCGTAACATCCACGAGTGCTTCTGACTGTGTGAGAACTCGGTGAACTGTAACCAGGGTTGACATTTCCTCCTGTGTGTGCAGAGAGCAAGACTCTGAATCTTTCATGACTCGGTCTGATGCTGAGGCAACAGTTTACATAACAGAGCCGTGCTCCCAGATAAAGGTGCTCATTGCCCGGACACTCGTTCTCTGTTCATCGGAACGTTTTATGTTTTTAAACTGAACCTGTTTGGATCAGAGAGCAACGTGCTTAGACTTAAAGGCCTATATTCCTCAAAGGAATGCATATCACCCGCCATCCTTCACTTTTAGACTAAGAACGTCTCATGTGAAAAGACAGAGTTAAAGCTGTTTTGGTTAAACTCCACATTATGCCAGATCTTGTGAGATGTGTCGGGGACGGGGATGACTCTCAGCTACTACCACACCAAATTCTAGCTCAGTATCTGTAAAACTGACTGAATTAAATGCATTTTATGCCGATTGACTTCAAAAATAAATCAGTTCTTTCCATTAAAATTTGAGTTTATAAGATATTTTGATAACATTGCAGATAAACACAGACATGAGTTAAATGTCTTCCTAAACGATTCGCTAATTATTTTTTGTTTCGAACACATTTTAAATGACATAGTTTTGTCAGTTTATCAAAGACATGGAGGGTTTTTTATTGCTTCTGCTCTCCTACAAATTGGAAAAWACAAATGTGGATAGTCAGGAATATGAGCCAGCTGAATTGTGGGTAAAATAGGTGCATGTCTGAGTTCCACCTTGACAGAAATGTGCATCCTCAGCCTCAAACAATCTGACATCACACTCCGGTAAGCCATGGACACTCAGGTGCACTCACCAGGTCTTTGGACGTGCCGAGTCTCTTGAGTCCGTCCAGGGGCAGGAGGTCAGCTGAGTCCTTGTGTGTGAACTGCGTGGCTTGTTTGAGACGCCTCTGCTGGTGCAGGATGGCTTTGTCCCGGATGGCTAGCTCCCCTTTCTTCGTCTCGCTCATGGTCTCCAAGCGTGAGGCAGTCTCTTCTGGAGCACAGAGAGAGGTCCTCACAGCTCTAAGAGACRAGGTGGTTAAGGCTGTCTTCTTTACAGAATAATAATCCAGCAGATGAAGCCTCTTCCAGTCTGTCTTGTCCCTTGTTTTTCCTGCTCTCTTTCCTCACAGGGTTTCCACTGATGTCTCCTGTTTGTCTCAGCAGCTTGGGAAGCTGTCCTCCTGTCCTGGGTGCTCCTCTGATGAAGACATCCTCCCTGAGATCTGCTCTCTCTCTCTGACAGAGGCAGTGAAGAAGGTGGGACTAAAGTCTGCACGTTCTCGCCCCTCCCCTCAGTGCTGTCTGTCCTTGGATCCCTCTCTTACATCTCTGTTTTCGTTTTTCCTCGCTCCCTTCTTCCCTTCAGAGCACATTCTCTCGTTTTTGCAGAGAGGTGGCAGCATTTTAAACCTTGTTAATCTAAAAAAAAWAAMYRRAWAAAATAAAAACATGTAGCTGCAGCGTCTGGTTTGTCACACAGTCTGAATTAGCCCTGCTGTTGTAGGTGTGAAGGAAACTGATCTGACCTCCCAACAAAGATCAATCCGCTCCAATAATGGCAACTATTGATTTCTCCTGACCCACCGACTGCCCCCGTCTGTGTGCCACAGTTAATGAAAAAATCCAGTTTCTCACATTCATCCACCAAATGCTATAAATATCAATCTGTGTGACCTCTGGAAGGTGACACATTTTTCTGACTCTGCCTGCAGGGACTCATGATTTCAAACGAGACGCTCATTCCTGATCTTATGACGTGAAATTAAAACGTGTTTTTTTTTTAGAAAACAGTATAATTTTCTAATGATGGAGTCCTTGTGAAGGTGAAGTGGAAAAAACTGCTTTAAAAAGGGAGGGAATGTTTTTAAAAAGCACGTGCTGCCCCCTGCAGGTCACATCTTTATTTTCATTCTGCATCATTATAGTTTTCAACTGTGTGGTTTTATAGCAAAAATAATGTATATTATATTTCTGCTCCGGTTGTAAAGCCTCACCTTAACTCCTCCAAACATACTTGTTGTTAAATAACTCAATCCTCATCCAGTCTGATGATGAACCTTTACTGTGATCACGATCACTGAGAAGTTAACGAGCTATTCTGGGAACTTCAGCACATTTTTCTTTTAAATACATGTAGATTTTTGYACACAAATGTACAATTTTGACCCTGTGTGGGTTAGAAAAGAGCAAAAGTCAGAATTGTGCATTCTCTTCTTGTTTTTAAAAATCAGTGTTTTAAATTCCACTGAAAACAAACTGTTAATATAAATCATTTAAAAAAAACTAATGTGACATAGGTTTAAAATCACAGTGATAGACTTCTGACTGCAAACATAAATACTAAAAATCAAGAACATTTGGACTATGTTGCATAGTGATGATTTTTTTTCTTTATTGTATATAAAAAAAATTTTATATGAAATGAATAAATGAATTTAAAGGGATCCCCGATTAGTAGTAACATTGGACTTTATTTGATAAACATATATTTTAACTGTAAAATAAAGAGTGTAAAAATACTGTAGGCTGTTTAGTTTTTCTCATTTTTAAACTAAAAGTTTAAAAATATATTACACGGACGGGGCCATTTCATTTAAACGCAAAGCATTCTGGGTAAATGATGACATCAACTAGGTCATCGGCACGAGGCTGCTAGTGAGCTGTATCCACCCTGAAGGTTAATCTTGGACAATATCTGATGATCGACTCTTTTAAATGAAACCAGAGAGCGTTGACAGAGAGGAGAAGGTAGAAATGACTCAGCCTGTAACTGAAAATATGGATGGAGGACCTCAGTTTAGCACCGAGCTAATACATATAAGGTAATATAGCTTTGGCGCTAGCACAAAGGCTAACAGGCTAAGGTGAGGTTCTTCTTCCATGAAGCAGCTCTGTTGTCCTCCAGCTTTTAGTTAAATGGGTTACAACAACACCTAATTTCCCTCTGGGATCAATAAAGTATTTATGAATTGAATTTGAATTGAATTGAATATTGTCCAGGATTAACCTTCAGGGTGGATATAGCTCGCTCATACCGAGGACCTATCCACGTCATCATTTACCCAGAATGCTTTGTGTGTAAATAAAATGGCTCCGTCCGTGTTAAAATATATTTTTAAACTTTTTCAAAGCTAAACAGCCTACAGTATTTTTCCAGTCTTTATTTTACAGTTAAAATAAATGTTTATTAAATAAATTCTAATGTTACAACTAATCATGGATCCCTTTAAAAAAATAGGGGGAAAGACTGAGCCAACAACTGTTTTCTTAAGTTTCTCAGCTAATTACTGCTTTTAAAACAGGTCTCTCTTGTAAATGAGACAATAGTCTCAAGAGGTTTTCCTGTATAAATAAAAGATAAAATTAAATTAAATTAAGAAGTTGTTTTATCTGGACAATAATTACTTTAAATGCAAAACTGTTCCTAAAGCTAAGATTAATGCAACTTTCAGAAGTTGATTAATACAATTAAATAGAAATAACTGTGATCGTCTCATCTAAAATATATGACTCGTTTAATCACAAAATTTCCTTGGTCAATTTAAACTCCATAAGGCTTAGCTTTAAACAAAACTCTCCATATTTTATTTATTTAAAGCTTTCTCTCATAAGACTGCTAACCCCTTTTCTTTATAAACAAACCAAAAAGTGACTTGAGAGCATAAAAACAAACTGTTTTGGTCAGCTGCTGGCTTTGTGCTTTTTTTTTTAACGATACTTAAAACTCAGATAGCAGAACGCACACGTGCATCATTTAGTTCACGAGACTGTGTTTTGAACTTTTAGTGTATTTATAGAGGGAAAAAAATTACAAAAAAAATGACAAAAAAGTAACACATTTCAACCAAAAACAACGGACTTTATGGATGCTCTGTGCAACATAGAGACAAATAAATGTATTATGTTGTGAACATAAGGTAAAAATGGAAACATCAGGGTTATTAATGTTTCTCTTTACCCAGAAAAGCCCTCATTGCTGCTTGGACAACTCACAACACTCCTGTAAGCATCTGGACACATTTGGCAACCAAACATTTGGGGAAGCAGAAAGTGAAATGTGTTGTTATGAAGCTGTTGACCCGTGAGTCACGTTGGCTTCGTCACTTTCCCCACACATCCCTCCTTTATGTGCAGCAGTGTGTAAAGTGTAGTGTGCTCATTTGGAGGCACAGAGGTTAAACAGCCTATTCCCACTGACACAACGYGGCCTTGTTCAGCCCAACAAGCAGTCCAGTTGTTCCCGGTCACAGCGTATCGGGGAGGTAAAGCGAACAGAGAAGCATGTTCTGTCCCAGAGCCGGGAAGCGTCTGAAGGCCTCCCAGCCGTCGGAGAAGATGTTGTACTTGAGGAAGACGCGGTGCTCCAGACTGGTGGGCAGGCCCACGTCTCGGCTCATGATGTAGATGCCGTCGTTGTGCAGCGCGCACGTCAGGTTCAGGCCCGATTTGGACGTGTTCTCTTTCAGCTGGGCCCACTTCCCCGTGGCGACGTCGTAGGACTGCACCATCAGAGAGTCCTCCGTGTGGCTGGGGCGCCACTGCCGCCGGCCCGCCTGCAGCTCGTGGGTGTAGCCCCCCACCAGGTAGATGGTGTCCTCCACTGAGAGCATCTGCTGCTTGCGAACGTGAGCCGAACAGGAGCGAGACACTGTCCAGGTGTCGGAGGTGGGGCAGTAACGGAGGACGTTGGTGTTCCTGTCTGTGAGACACAAAAACATCTCAATAAATGTAGAGCACGACYGCAACATGGTTTAAAAACATGACGTGCAAAGCATTAAATTATACAAACCTCTAGCAGTGTATCCACCCATGACGTAGATCATACCCTGGCACTCACAAGCTGAGAACTCAGCCAGCGGGTCGGGCATGGAAGACACGCAGGTCCACCAGTCGTACTCTGGACTGTAACACTCCACGGTGCCCAGACACTGGCCTCCGACCGCATACAGCTTCCCTTGTACTGCCAGCAGCTTAAAGTTAGACCTGGAGGAGAGGACGCACAGGGTGAAACATGACTAAGTACAATCAGTATTGCTGTGAGGCAAGTATACCTCTTCTGGTTGAGCGGAGCCACCTGGCTCCACTTGTTGCTGCAGGGGTTGTAGCAGTGCACAGCAGAGATCTCCTGATTGGACACCCTGTATCCGCCCGCTATGAACAGGTAGTTATCCAGAACAGCAGATCCGTAACCCCGGACGTTGGCCATGTCTGTTGGCAAGTTGTTCACCAGTGGCTTCCAACGCTGCTCCACCTCTCCATACCGGAGCATGGACCAGGATCCTTTCTGATCAGGCACATCCAGGGTCAGACTGGTGAAGTCTCCGATGGCCACCAGGGTGGCRGTGCCTTTCATGCGCGTGTCCTTGACCTGGTCCCGGACACCAGAGGGCAAACTGATGAACTCGGGAYGCCTCAGCATGGGATGGTAGTGGCAGCTCATGTATTTGAGGCAGGCGTTCCGCAGGTCCTGAGTCCCGTAAACCTCAGAGAGGCTGAACAGCTCCACACAGTTATCCTGCCGGATCTCTGAGGTCAGCAGCTTCAGGATGGAGGTGACCTGTAAGAAGGAAGCGGTCTCAATCAGGTCCTCCAGAGTCTCGTTGACCACCTGGACTTTGGAGGTGTTGATGAACTCCAGGACCAGCTCCAGGCCCGGGACGCTGAGMCCCTGCAGCTGCACGGAGTCCTCTGAGGACTCCCTCATCCCGGAGCTGTAAAGAGCTCGGAAATAGTCGCTTTTCTCTATCAGCTTGTTTTTATTTACCTCATAAGTCCTGTCATCCACCACAATGGCAATAATCTGGTCTGATGACATGTTGGAGAGCTTTTATTTTATTTTTTTGTCAACCTCGCGACGAGTTTACTGTTTACCGGCGGAGGAGCTCGATGGCCGGCCTATATATGGTCATTTCATCCCATAGATCCCCGTGGAGCAGCTCTCCTAAAGGCTAACAGCTAACAGAGAGGTCCTGAGAAAACCGGACAAAACGACTCTTTTCTCCGATTAACATTCCTCAACAGCTCGTCAGAAAACTGTCTCTTATTAGAACATGGCACTTACATTTTACGCTTTATTTCTGACCTTCGTAGGAACACTTTTAAAAGTGGTTTTAGGGCCGTTTATGGGTCGAGCTGTCAATTTTTCACTGTTTTGATTCGGAGCTTCTTGTTCGTGAGTTTATTGTTGTGTAGAGCTGCTCGTGCGCGCTGCTGCCACCTGTCGGTCAAACCATTTACAGGAAAACAAATGATATGGAACCAAAACATAATCACTGGTGCAAAACTCACATTTAACCCTCCTATTATGGTGCGAGTCAAACTGACCCGTGGTGAAGTACATTTTTTTAAATAGTTGAAAGTATTTTTTTTTTCAGTGAAACGTATTTGCAACCCTCCCACACACATAAAGTACATCTAAATATTACATAGATCAACATGTAAAAAAAATCTAAAAAAAATATAATTTCACGTATAACCACTGTTTGTGTGTGTATAGGTTCTTTCAGTGGATATAAAAAATGTAATTTGCATTTTTTTAATGAAAAGTAGTGAATTTTCCTTATTGATCCTTATCTGTGAGAAATATAAAAAACTACACAAAAATATTGATTGAAATGGTCAGTAATGGAGTCATTAATCAGACACAACAATGTTTTGGAGGATCTTTTTTGCTTTCTGACATTATTGTGCGATTAAACATTCCCTGGTTCAAACTGACACAAGATTGCTGTTCCTCAGAAACGAACATAACAGGAGGGTTAAATAACAAGTATTCATTATTTATATA